GAATCAGAAGGGAATTTCATTGATTTTAAGGCATAAAGTTCTACCTAACATGATGGGTATATCACTATCCTCCTTTATATTTAAAACGATAAAGTCAACTGGGAAGATAAACTTATCTACCTTTTCATCTCAAAAAAACCACACCCCCAAACACCCCCCCCCCCCCCAGGATATAAAAAAGATAGGTTAGTAAGCTGAAGGATTATAGTGGTGGGTTGGCTTCTTTTAATCTTAACCTTTTAAAGATCGACAATGTCATGAGGTTAATACTAGCACCTAACTCACATAAGGCCTTCTCATAAGGAATGGTAAAACTATCAGGGTCCTTAAGATTTTTAGGGAACTTTCTCTATATAATAACACTGCACTCCTTGCTAAGTGCTACTCTTCTTATTTAGAATGTCGTTCATAAATATCACATAACTAAACATCTATTTAAAAGCCTTAACAAAAGGGATATATCGTCAACTTCATAAACTCTTCCAAAAATTGAGAAAATTGTTGATCTAACTTGTGTTTCTTGAGTCTCTAGAGAAATGTTGGAGGTGGTATTTTCAAGTCCTTCCTAATAGGTGTGATGGTCTTCTTAAGTTTTTAGAAGAGTCTTCTATTAATCTTTCAAGGTTGGGGTTTTCTTGTACCGCCTCTACAAAAGAAGAGGTCTTTCTTTTGATGTTTACAGGAAATGTTGGAGGTGGTATTTCTATTGATCTTTGGAGAGTTTGAAGCCCACTAGAATTGGGTGTCAGAGAATCACCTCTGCCAAAGAAGAGAATTCTTAGAAGTTATGGAGAGCTCAGAAGAGATCCCTTTTATCTAGAGGGAACTCATCTCGAACCAGGCGTCGTAGCTCATCACAGATGGCATCAACAGGAGCACAATAAGGCGTGGTGGTGCCAAGTGAAATGAGTGGAACTTATAACATTGAGAAGATAGATGTCTCGTTTGGACAGAGGAATGGTTTCATCATAAGGAGAGAACCAGGTCAGTGGAGTATTTCCAGTTGGATGTTGTACTGGTGGTAAGTAAGCTCTATCTAGATGTGTGGGTATCGGCTACCGTAGGTACTGGAGGATCTTGTGCTAGTACTCCTTCATCCTACGTATTAGGTCTTCCAGAGAAGTACCTATGGCACCTTTGTCAACGAGGTAATGTATTTCAGAGTAGGAGGATGCGAAGGCCTGATGCCTTTGGCTCCCTGACCATCTTCTGGAATGATGGGTGTTAGAGTGGGATGCTCCGTAGTTGCAAGTGTTGCAGTTGGTGGTCGTACAACATTTCTTGCAAGTACTTTAGTGGTGAGAATGCTATGTTCCCTCAGACGACACCAAACAAATGTGTGCTAGAAAATTTGTATCGGTAGAATAATGGATTATTGTTTAAGCTTTGCACGAGAATTCAACACACATTCAAATGAAAGAAAACAATCAGTAGAAACACCAAAAGTTTTTACGTGGAAAACACTAAAGGGAAAAATTACGAGGTTTGGCCCAGCTGATGAGATCCACTATGAACTGGAGATTGCAAGTACGGTCTTTTGTCCTACTGGCTGAAAAGGGTTACACAATCCTTCGAGCTATAAAGTCAGTGTGTGGGTGAACTTGTGGTAGGAAGTGAGTGGAGACTGATGTTGATCGGTAATAGTTGATCAATAATGGTTAACAGTGATCGGTGGCAGTTGACAGTGCTCGACAGTTGTTGATGACTGCAGGAGTGATGTTGGACTTTAGCTTATTCTCCAAGTTTTAAGCTCTTCTTCAGGCTTCAAGCTTTCCTCTTCTCATGAGAGTGGTGATGCTCTATTTATAATCTTGATTGCAATTAATGAATGAATATGAATCACTCTAATCGGAAGGCCCAGAGAGATTCCCTCGATTAGATAACGTTTGATGAACATTTGAGTGTCTTAACGATGTCAGAATTGAGTGATCTTGGGCTCGTTGAATTTTTCTTGTTGAGACGCTCAATTCAATTATAAGCTCACCAGATGCAACATCCGTTTAACCTTATAAATATTCTCGAAAAGCTTCTAAAAGTGTATTAATGGCTTGATCTAAGCTTGATGTGACTTGAATTTGACCAATTTTGGTACCATTGGGTTTGTCTCGTCGAGTCGGTGAGCTTGACTGTAAGTTTTTTGGAAGGAGCTCTGTAAGACTTTTAATCAAAATTTTTACATTTATTACAAAAACATTTACCTCAAAATTCGTGCCATGCCTCGAGATTTTTGTTGGATGACGGAAATGTTTTTATGATGTACCAAATCTAAAAGCTAGTAGATGCCCTTGCACTATAAGTAAAAAATTGAAGCTCTAATCACAACATGAGTTATTACTTAATTATCCCTATTCTTAAATTTGCCATGGTCCACTATTTTTCGGCCATCTAATTCTCCATTCTTTTCGAAGAGGCTTTTCTAGTCGACAATTGATAAATACCCATAAACTAAATTCTCAAGCTGGCCTCATTCCACACTCTTTTATAATGGAGATCGACTCAAGTGCTTTTAACCACCAATTGACTTTATTTAGGTTAGTGTCTGCTTCTTCACCCATGAGTTCCCTTTTTGTATGAGTCTAGAATCTCAAGCATATAACCTCTAAAGTGGCTCACGTAATTAGCTTTTTTCTCTAAAGTAGCTCACGTAATTAGCTTTTTTTTTTTTTCCAAACCCGCAGTATTTTTTATCTAGCCTAAAATGTTATTAAGAGTTTTTTTTTTAATTTTTTTAGGCCAAATTAACTTTAATTGATATTAGATAACTATCTATGAGTTGGTGACAGTATAATATAATTTCATATAGTAAAATTAAAATATCATTTTTTTATCTTCTTAGAACCTTAGTCAATATGAAGGACCAGAGATAAAAGTAAATAAAACTTACCAATCACACTTCTATCAATATGACCCACAAACAACATAGTTAAAATGACAAACTTGATTGAAGATTATGGACTGAATAGGCTACTAAATAAAGAAGATGATAATATGCATGCTTTTTCAAATTACTAATAGAACAAATAATGAATATTTCAATAAAAATAAATAAACAAATAAAAACAACTTTTGTCCCAGCTTTTCCATATTTATTTATATGCATATATCCTTGCTTTAACAATGAAGCAATTTTCAAGAGCAAAATTTAAACCTTTGAAATATAATTGAAGTAGCATAATCACCACTTTATTTGATGAAAAATCATGTCATGATAAATATTTTCCATTTAATACAGAATAGAAATATTTGATAAGTGGAATATAAAAATCAGAGGGTACATGAAAGCTTAGGTATGTGGCTGAAGAGATTTTGGCAGAGAAAAGTAATAGAGGCCCAAGTCAAAACAAAAAGGTTGTGGACAACATGTTCTCTTACCATTATTGCCAAAAATGCTGTCTTTTAATGTTTGCTAGCCAACTACATCCCCCCTCTCTCCTTTTGCTGCAATTTAGGAATCCGCTCCTAAGGGAACCCCACATCTCAAGAAAGATCTCATGAGTGAATTAAGACTAAGAGAACTCTAATGATGGAAAGATTATTAGGTATGACTGAACGTATATTCGGATGATGGTCTCAATAAGACCACACTGTTATGGATCGCATAGATTAGGTATGACTGAGCCTATCTAAACAGTTGTCCGAACTTATGGTCGTCATAGATTACGAGGGGAGCAGGCATGACCTCTAGTAAAATCATACATCCAACAATCATTCAATTTTTCACATACTTTTAACTATGAATGTAAGATTTATAAATTCATCCGAGAATCAATGGCTAAAGTCCCAACAGCTACGTGTCCGCTTGATGACACGTGGCACGCCTACATTTTGACCCTGACCTAGAGCAGAATTGTCACTTTCAGTCTATTACTTTCAGTCTATTTCTGCAATTTGATATCTTCCAGCATAAGGAATTGGTTCTCCACACAATACCCTATTTCTTTTCCAGGAAATAAATTGAATCTGTATATAAAATACTTATTCATTGCTGCAATTTGATATCTTCCAGCATAAGGAATTGGTTCCACACAATACCCTATTTCTTTTCCAAGAAATAAATTGAATCTTTATATAAAATACTTATTCATTGCTTTTTTACAAATCTAACACCCTTTTTTTCAATTTCTTTTTTACTTCTCACTCAAATATCAAAATTAATGATAAGAACATATATATAACTAACACCCTTTTTTTCAATTTCTTTTTTACTTCTCTCTCAAATATCAAAATTGATGATAAGAACATGTATATAATATTTTTATTTTTATCAAATTCTCAATAATTTGATTGTGATTAGAGACAGAACCAATATTATCTTTTAAGGTGGTCAAAATCACCAAAGATCCAATTTTTTTTTCAAGTATTGAGAAAAAAAAGATTTTTTTTAAATTTTATTATTTATATAGAGAAATCTTAAATTTAAAGAGCAATTATTGTCCATCAAGAACATAACCTAGTTCTGTCTTTGATCGTGACGCACAAATGTACCAGCTCGATAGTTAAAAAAAAATCACATCACTATTAAATTTTGTAAATGATAATATTTCGAAGGTTATGTATATAATTGTCCCATAAAAAATATTATAAGAACCTAAATTACATATCAAACCGGCACAAATCAACATTATATCTTTCTTATTTCCCCCCCATTCACCTCCCTGTTATTGCATGTATAAAATATGAATTATCATAAACAAACCTATATATAATGTAAGGTCATGCGAAGATATCAAGCCATACGAACATGTAAAATCCATTTAAATCCTATCTTTTCACCTACTTTGTTCTCTTTTCCCTCATTTAAAGCACTTCAACCTCAAACAAGTAGGCCCAACAAACATACAGATGAACAGTATTCCCCCATTGTCAGGTTTTCTCAAGCCCGAAACAGTAAACTATACATCACTTTGATTCTTTCCCAAAAAAAAAAAAATAAGCTGCATTTAATTTGTTTTTCTTCTCTATCTTTGCATCTCATTTCTCCCACACCGACCTTTAAAAGTTCATAAAGTTTGTTGGTGAGGAGCGCTTAGCTTTTAGACGTTGGCTAGTGCTTTAAAAAGCTCTATTTAAAGGAGCCGAAGGCAAGCATAGTTTCCAGACTTGCGTTGAGAGAGTAAAGAAAGAGCAGTGGGAGGCAAGCAATTCTGAAGGAAACTTCTTGCAACTCACAAAGGATAATCCTCTTATACAATCCATCCCACATTTCCCTTCTTGTACTCTTCTCTGTTTTGGTCTTAGACCACCCACCTTGTCTTTCTTCTCTATCAAAAATCTCTGTTCAGGCAAATCTGCATGCACATTTTAGCTAAAAGTTTTTTTATTTTTAAATTCTTTAGCTGTTTTACTTGGTGTTGTAGCTTTGTTTTTACATTGTAGTCTTAGTTTTCTATATTGAGTAAGTTTATTAGCTCCTGAACTTCCTCAACCATGGGGTATTTATCTTGCCTTTTTGGACATGGTCACAATCATAATAAGAGGAGGCAGCTGCAGACTGTTGAATTAAGAGTCAGGATGGACTGCGATGGCTGTGAGCTCAAAGTGAAGAAAGCCCTCTCCTACATGAAAGGCAATTCTCTCCCTCTCGCACACACGCCCGCCCCGCACGCCCGCCTTCACGCATATATAATTGATGCACATGTAATCATAATAATCTATTGCTCTCACACACGCACGCACACACTTTTATATAAAAATTATGCACATTTAAATGAACATGTGATCATAATAGCCTATTGCTGAGCTATCCAACATTTGGTTCAATTTTTTATGTACAAGAGCTTGCAAAATAAGCCAAGCATATGCTACTAATTGTGGTAAATGAGTTTTCTCCTTAATTAATTGCAGGAGTTCAGTCAGTGGAGATTAACAGAAAGCAAAGCAAGGTTACAGTCACTGGTTATGTTGAGCTGAACAAGGTTCTAAGGAGGGTCCAGTCCACTGGCAAGAAAGCAGAGATATGGCCTTATGTTCCTTATAACTTGGTCAGGCAGCCTTATGTGGCTGGCACCTATGACAAGAGGGCTCCTCCTGGGTACGTGAGAAATATGGAGGCAATTGCAGTTCCAAGCCTTGCAATTACAGAGGAGGAGCACTACACCAATTTGTTCAGTGACGACAATCCTAATGCTTGCTCTATTATGTGATGAGGATATTAAGAGGATTTGAAGATGGAAAAGTGAAGAAATTAAGTGTTTATTTCTCTGCCAAAGAAGAAAACGGCATTCATAGCTTTTATGTAATATGATGAAGAGATTTCAGCTGCACTTATATTTTACTAGAAGAATTACAAAGCAAGTCTTCAAAATCAAATCACACTGAAACTTACAATGGCAGCAATTGATTCTAGTCATTAATTGGATGAATAAGTATAAAACTCTGAAGTTTTTATACAGTAATCTTCTTTTATTTTTTTATTATCTCTGTATGTTTGAATATATGTCACATATGCCAAACGGGAACTTAATCTAATCTGATTTTTATTGGTTCCATATTTCTTATGAGCTACAGCAAGGTGAATCAAAGATAATTTATTAAATATAATCATAAAACTGGAACAACTACTTCATTCCATGCACAATTGCTAACCTTTCGTTACACTGGAGGTCCAGCATGAAAATTCATAAAAATTAAGATGCCTGCAAAAAAGTAATAGTACAATACCCTCGTACGTTAATTTTGAGCAAACGAACAAGTCAAACTTCCAAAGAGCCAGGCATCAAGTTTTCCGGAAAAATAGAACCCAGGTCAGCAGATAAGAAGTTGGTGCCTAACCCAGTGCATCCTGCGGTTTCCAGACTTCAATATCAAGTTATAATATCGTGGTTTTATTAACGATGAATGTTTCTGGGACTAGTCAGATAAACCGTCAATGGCTCGTTCAATAAAATAGTCACTACAAGATTTATCCTGCTTAGCATCGGATGATTAGCATGGAACAAATCCGATGCTAATTAAGGGAAAATCCGACGCTAATCTAGCTTCGGAAATAATTTGTTGTTAAAACTGTCTTTGGTAAATGTATCAGCATCGACTTTTACGTCGAACATTTTCTTGCGACAGATTTAGCTTCCGTAAGTATCTTTGTTATCAAGTTTCTCATTCAATGTTGTTCGAGCAACTGTGGGTTTGCATCCGACTTTCCGTCGCAAAACTGTGAGCAACAAAAAAAAAATGGGAATAACGATTTGATTTTCACAGACATATACATAACAAATATGAACAACATAATTATCTATCCATCATCACAACTAAAAAACTACACCACCAACAAGTGTATGCAATGATAACAAACTTAATTTAACAAATACGAAAACGTTCAAAGTTCACAAATATGCATAATGAATATTCACATAAACAGAATTGAACAAACACAAACTTTAATGGTGGGAAACATCATCAAACACATAATAAAACTCTTAATCCTCCACTTTGTTCATGGTGTGTATAATTTCTGAACTTGCTGTAGCTAATTATCTGCTGACCTGGGTCATACACCATATTTAATGCACAAAAATAGAAATTAGTTGTGACTATCATCAATAAATAAACTATCCTTTGTGTTTGATGATGTCTGATGTGTTTGATGAGTAGTCATATGTTGCTTGCCTTTGTTCTCCTCCTCCTCATCCTCCACTTTTTTCTCCTCCACTTTGTTTCGCCCCCATCCCCATCCTCCACTTTGTTCTCCTCCTCCTCATCCACAACACTCATATGTTGCTTGCCTTGACAATCAAAACTATCTGTCAGGCATGCTAGACCATCCGCAGCCATCTGCTGGCCTTCACACACCTATCGAGCTCTTCATTCATGGCGCTAGACCCACTAGATAAGCTCGCCATGGTGAGCCTGTAATGAGTTACGGCCGCCCACAACAACACATGAATGCTTGTTCTCACATGCAATACCCTTCGCGCTTAGGTCATACACCTTCCCTTTCTTTCCCTCTGTCGACGTCCATATCTCAAAATCAGACTCAGTAGTGGTCGACTGTTTAGCACTGTTGTTGGCATATGTTGAGGTATGTCTCGTCATCTCCCTCTACCTCTTCTGAAGTCGCTCGCACTTCTCCTACATAATAAAAAATTAATTGCTATTTTAAATATTAGTAGTCACAAAAAATGATAAATCAATCTTCTTAATTACATTGACATGGTGAGAGTAGTCAGAGACCCACTGTTGCTTACTCGGGCGCCGATGTGTCAAGACACACATCTCTGCAGTGGATGGATCTCAATCAAGTTGTTTGACTTGCGTACATGAGATAATTGTAAGTATCACATAATTATATAAATCTTTATATCTCTGAAATTTGAGATAATTTTTCTAGTTTTCGGTAGTGTTTTGTGTAGAGGATCAAACCTCCATTGTGAAGTGTTGGCTCGCTTGCTCCATCCATCGTCTTTGTTCTGTTGGTTTGTTTGTCTCTTCCTATGATAAAATGAAAAGGCTTAGACTCTTTTCAAGTCAACCCGAACATCCTCACCAACCCACATGGGCATCTCTATCTTCTTGAATGTTGTGGTTAACATTTCACCCAACCAATGTCTCTCATGAACCTCAAAAATACGTTGGATCTGCTAGTGATGCTCTAACAACTAGTAGAAAGATCCTTGTAAATTAGAAATTATTCAAAGTTGATTAATACACAAAAATAGAAATTAGTATTCTAATTCAAATTAAGTGATCATTCTACAAACTTCCAGAATCATGTCTTGAGTCGCAATCGGGATCTATTTCCAACATAGATATGTCTGATCATTCCTGCTCAGGTTGATCTTCGTGATGTGTGTCACAGGTGGCTTAGAAAGAAAGAACCTAAAATAGAAATATTAGTTAAAAAAAATATCGAGATAAAATTTGAAATTATTTTAATGTTAAAAAATGTAACTTATGAGTCACCCATCGACACAATATACACATTGTCGGAGGAACCTAGACGGAAAACTGATGCAGGTGTGGGAGCTGGTGCCTGGGAGGGAGCTGGTGCGGGAGGGGCAGCAGGAGGAGTGGTCAGAGTAGCTTTAGGAGTGAGGTTCCTTTCAGAGCGATTGACGACCTCTTTAATCTCTTAAACATGTATCTTAAAGTGTCTTGAACATGAGGCCTCTCTGGGGGTTGAGCACCTGTAATCAACATAAGAAAAAAGACATTACTAAAATTAGAAAGCAGGAGTAGTATATAATATAAACCGTAAAGTAAAAGTAGGATAGTGTAGAATCAAAACATGAAATATGTTGTGACTATGTCTAAAATCAACAAATATAAGCAAGACAAATGTAGTGTGAGAAACAAACATAAAAGAAAGAAGGTATATAAGAAAAACAAAAAATATGTTGTAACTACGTCTAGAAAAAGCAAAAGTCCTAAAACAACAAAAGAAATAGCAATCTATCTTCTTACATAATAACCCTAACTTCGACTCCAACTTTTTAGTTTTGTATAAATCTTCTGGAACTAAATTATTTGCAGAATTCATCTCCTTTAATAATATTATTGACTGATTGAAGCATTCCCAGGGCATGTTGAAATCGGAATTGATACCCAACATTCTCATTGTGACCAATAACTTCATATGTGTATTGCATCCTTCCTATAAAAGATTTTTGTGCAACATTTAATAAATCATAAAATTATTATGCTTCACAGTTCGGTTCTTGATCATCATTTGGTACACTCTCAACAAAATGAATCCTGCTAACATCAACAATCATTTCCTCATATACGCCAAAATTGTGCTCCATTGAAGAGACATAACCTGATGAGGCACTAACATAACCATACTGAACAACTAGTTTAAGTTCACTATGTGAAGTCTAATACCAATAAACAGGTTTAAATACCCTACAGTATGATCCAACTTCACTTCATCGAGCATCAGGTATGCTTGATTCCTATGCTTCACGCAGAGACATCAGAACTTACCTTTTGAAAAGTAAACGGGCAGTTGTGATGCCACATGCACAAATTCCTCAACACCATAAAAAAACTCATTAGTGAGTCCTTTCCTTTCTGTATACAATCTGTTATGCATTCATGATCTCATGTTTCAAATACTCATATATAACATAGATGTACCTTCATAGATAAGTGCAAATAGATATCAATCGTGCATAGGTTTCATAAAAGAAAAATATTTATATAAAAAATGACAATACTTGAGTCATATAATAACATATTACTAGGTGGTTTGACTAGCATGATCCACTATATTTTGATCACAGATGTAATTCATATGTTTCCCAAAAATTTTCTACTCGTTTAATTTTTGAATCATAGGGTGTACCTCATAGAGCATGAAATTAAGCTCGACTTAAATTTATCTGCTTAGACAAACATTCTCCTCAGGTCTACAATGTTTCTTTGGACGAAACAACTCATGGTTGTTTATAAAGATTCTTTTATTAGGTTGGGTCTACTGCATTCTCTAACTACACGGACTAGAGACCTAAACAACCCAAAATTATAAAGCCACGGGATCTTGATCTGGTTCATTGCTATTTTCCCCGCTATGTGCTTTAAGCTCACAGTGGTAATTTCATAATTTTAAAATTAATTTATTTTGTTATCATATGCTAAATAAATACTTAACACATAATGACTAGCCTTAATATATAGTACTCTTCCATTATCGGGAGGGTAATTAACCATAGTGACAAATATTTATGGGTAACCTTTAACACCAAATCTTAAATTTTTATAAATTTCAGTCAAAATTTATTCGTAGTGTATTATCATTTGCCCAATTTACCTTTCAAAAATTTGACCCAGAACCCCACATAAGACTCTTTCGCTTATTTTATTCTTTTCGAAGGAGGTAGGGGCACAAATTTTCAAAGACAACACATTGAAGTCATCTGCTAAAGTAACAATAAAAAGTCATTATCTATCCTTCCTACAATAAAATATTTTCAAAAAAAAATTAGTTTCCCAGCAATAATTTTACAATCATACTAACAAAATGCAATGGTCATCGCAAACAAACACTGAATTTAAACTGTAATTTAAATCAATCCATACTAACGAGTTTTAGTTTATAGAACTATTTCAATCCAAAAATAGATAATAACAACCTAAAACCATTATTTTTGTGCTTAACATTATTGTGGGAATGCCCTAACATAAATTTTGTTTTCCACATAATTTGGTTTTACAATTATCTTCTTTGCAGCACTTTAGGTTTCATAAACTAACATAAATTTTTTTTTCCACATTAATAAGTTATGATAGCATTTATATCTTGCCAGTCTTAAAAAATGAGAAGTGCACTTAATCATTTATCAAATAAAGTCACCATTTGTTTTCCACATTAATAAGTTATGATAGCATTTA